TAGTCACGTCGTCACTGTCACCCCCTCCCTCACTCTGTCACTAGTCACCCCATCCCTCCCTCCCTCCCTCTGTCACTAGTCACTCCCTCCCTAACTGTGTCACCCCCTCGGTCACTAGTAACCCCCTCCCTCACTCACTCTGTCACCCCTTCCCTCCCTCACTTTGTCGCTTGTCACCCCTTCCCTCCCTCACTTTGTCGCTAGTCACCCCTTCCCTCCCTTACTCTGTCGCTAGTCACCCCTTCCCTCCCTTACTCTGTCACTAATCACCCCCTCCCTCACTCTGTCACTAGTCACCCCCTCCCTCACTCTGTCACTAGTCACCCCCTCCCTCACTCTGTCACTGGTCATCCCCTCACTCTGTCACTAGTCACCCACTCACTCTAGTGACAGAGTGATTGGAGGGGGTGACTAGTGACAGAGGGAGGGGGTGACTGGTGACAGAGGGAGGGAGGGGGTGACTAGTGACAGAGGGAGGGATGGGGTGACTAGTGACAGTCACCACCTCCCTCACTCTGTCACTAGTCACCATCTCCCTCACTCTGTCACTGTCACCCCTTCCCTCTGTCACTAGTCATCCCTCCCTCATTCTGTCACTAGTCATCCCCTCCCTCACTAGTCACCCCTCCCTCACTCTGTCACTAGTCGCCCATTCCCTCCCTCACTCTGTCAATAGTCACCCATTCCCTCCCTCACTCTGTCATTAATCACCCCCTCACTCTGTCACTAGTCACCCTCTTCCTCACTCTGTCACTAGTCACCCCCTCCCTCTCTCTGTCACTAGTCACACCCTCCCTCACTCTGTCACTATAGTGAGGGGATGACTGGTGACAGAGTGAGGGGATGACTGGTGACAGAGTGAGTTAGGGGGTGACTAGTGACAGAGTAAGAAACGGAGGGGGTGACTAGTGACAGAGTGAGGGAGGTGGTGACTAGTGACAGTCACCACCTCCCTCACTCTGTCACTAGTCACACCTTCCTTCCCTCACTCTGTCACTAGTCACCCCTTCCTTCCCTCACTCTGCCACTAGTCACCCCTCCCTCACTCTGTCACCACCTCCCTCACTCTGTCACTAGTCACCCCTTCCTTCCCTCATTCTGTCACTAGTCACCCCTTCCTTCCCTCATTCTGTCACTAGTCACCCCTTCCTTCCCTCACTCTGCCACTAGTCACCCCTTCCCTCACTCTGTCACCTGTCACCCCCTCACTCTGTCACTAGTCACCCCCTAACTCTAGGAAGGGGTGACTAGTGACAGAGTGAGGGGATGACTGGTGACAGAGTGAGGGAGTGACTAGTGACAGAGGGAGGGGGTGACTAGTGACAGAGTTAGGGAGGAAAGGGGTGACAAGTGACAGTTAGGGAGGGGGTGACTAGTGACGGAGGGGGTGACTAGGGACAGAGTGAGGGAGGTGGTTACTAGTGACAGAGGGAGGGATGGGGTGACTAGTGACCTCCCTCCCTCTGTCACTGTGTCACCCCCTCCCTCTGTCACTAGTCACCCACTCCCTCCCTCACTCTGTCACCAGTCATCCCCTCACTCTGTCACTAGTCACCCCTTCCTTCCCTCACTCTGCCACTAGTCACCCCTTCCCTCACTCTGTCACCTGTCACCCCCTCACTCTGTCACTAGTCACCCTCTAAATCTAGTGACAGAGTGAGGGAGGGTGTGACTAGTGACAGAGAGAGGGAGGGTGTGACTTGTGACAGAGTGAGGGAAGGTGTGACTAGTGACAGAGAGAGGGAAGGGGGGACTAGTGACAGAGTGAGGGAGGTGGTGATTAGTGACAGAGGGAAGGATGGGGTGACTAGTGACAGAGTTAGGGAGGGGGTGACTAGTGACGGAGGGGGTGACTAGGGACAGAGTGAGGGAGGTGGTTACTAGTGACAGAGGGAGGGATGGGGTGACTAGTGACCTCCCTCCCTCTGTCACTGTGTCACCCCCTCACTCTGCCACTAGTCACCCCTCCCTCACTCTGTCACCACCTCCCTCACTCTGTCACTAGTCACCCCTTCCTTCCCTCATTCTGTCACTAGTCACCCCTTCCTTCCCTCATTCTGTCACTAGTCACCCCTTCCTTCCCTCACTCTGCCACTAGTCACCCCTTCCCTCACTCTGTCACCTGTCACCCCCTCACTCTGTCACTAGTCACCCCCTAACTCTAGGAAGGGGTGACTAGTGACAGAGTGAGGGGATGACTGGTGACAGAGTGAGGGAGTGACTAGTGACAGAGGGAGGGGGTGACTAGTGACAGAGTTAGGGAGGAAAGGGGTGACAAGTGACAGTTAGGGAGGGGGTGACTAGTGACGGAGGGGGTGACTAGGGACAGAGTGAGGGAGGTGGTTACTAGTGACAGAGGGAGGGATGGGGTGACTAGTGACCTCCCTCCCTCTGTCACTGTGTCACCCCCTCCCTCTGTCACTAGTCACCCACTCCCTCCCTCACTCTGTCACCAGTCATCCCCTCACTCTGTCACTAGTCACCCCTTCCTTCCCTCACTCTGCCACTAGTCACCCCTTCCCTCACTCTGTCACCTGTCACCCCCTCACTCTGTCACTAGTCACCCTCTAAATCTAGTGACAGAGTGAGGGAGGGTGTGACTAGTGACAGAGAGAGGGAGGGTGTGACTTGTGACAGAGTGAGGGAAGGTGTGACTAGTGACAGAGAGAGGGAAGGGGGGACTAGTGACAGAGTGAGGGAGGTGGTGATTAGTGACAGAGGGAAGGATGGGGTGACTAGTGACAGAGGGAGGGGGTGACTGGTGACAGAGTGAGGGAGGGGGTGACTAGTGGCAGAGTGAGGGAAGGAAGGGGTGACTAGTGACAGAGGCAGGGATGGGGGGACTAGTGACAGTCACCACCTCCCTCACTCTGTCACTAGTCACCATCTCCCTCACTCTCACTGTGTCACCCCCTCCCTCTGTCACTAGTCATCCCTCCCTCACTCTGTCACTAGTCACCCATTCCCTCCCTCACTCTGTCATTAATCACACCCTCACTCTGTCACTAGTCACCCTCTCCCTCACTCTGTCACTAGTCACCCCCTCCCTCTCTCTGTCACTAGTCACACCCTCCCTCACTCTGTCACTAGAGTGTGGGGATGACTGGTGACAGAGTGAGTTAGGGGGTGACTAGTGACAGAGTAAGGGACGGAGGGGGTGACTAGAGACAGAAGGAGGGAGGGAGTAGTGACAGAGGGAGGTGGTGACTAGTGACAGAGTGAGGGAGGTGGTGACTAGTGACAGTCACCACCTCCCTCACTCTGTCACTAGTCACCCCTTCCTTCCCTCACTCTGTCACTAGTCACCCCTTCCTTCCCTCACTCTGCCACTAGTCACCCCTTCCCTTACCCTGTCACTAGTCACCCCCTCACTCTATTGACAGAGTGAGGGAGGGGGTGACTAGTGACAGAGTTAGGGAGGGAAGGGGTGACTATTGACAGAGTTAGGGAGGGGGTGACTAGGGACAGAGTGAGGGAGGGGGTGACTAGGGACAGAGTGAGGGAGGTGGTTACTAGTGACAGAGGGAGGGATGGGGTGACTAGTGACAGTCACCACCTCCCTCACTCTGTCACTAGTCACCACCTCCATCACTCTATCACTGTGTCACTCCCTCCCTCACTCTGTCACCAGTCATCCCCTCACTCTTTCACTAGTCACCCCTTCCTTCCCTCACTCTGCCACTAGTCACCCCCTCACTCTGTCACTTGTCACCCCCTAACTCTAGTGACAGAGTGAGGGAGGGTGTGACTAGTGACAGAGAGGGGGGTGGGGTGACTAGTGACAGAGTGAGTGAGGTGGTGATTAGTGACAGAGGGAAGGATGGGGTGACTAGTGACATTCACCAGCTACCTCACTCTGTCACTAGACACTCACTCTGTCACTGTGTCACCCCCTTCCTCACTGTCACTGTGTCACCCCCTTCCTCACTGTCACTGTGTCACCCCCTTCCTCACTGTCACTGTGTCACCCCCTTCCTCACTCTGTCACTGTGTCACCCCCTTCCTCCCTCACTCTGTCACTAGTCACCCCCTCTCTCACTCTGTCACCAGTCATCCCCTCACTCTGTCACTAGTCACTCCCTCCCTAACTCTGTCACTAGTCACCGCCTCCCTCACTCTGTCACCAGTCATCCCCTCACTCTGTCACCAGTCATCCCTTCCTTCCCTCACAGTGACAGAGTTAGGGAGGGAGTGACTAGTGACAGAGCGAGGGATGGGGTGAATAGTGACAGAGTGAGGAAGGGGGTGACTAGGGACAGAGTGAGGGGGTGACTAGTGAGGGAGGGAGTGACTAGTGACAGAGAGAGGTATGGGGTGACTAGTGACAGTCACCCCCTCCCTCTGTCACTAGTCACTCCCTCAATCTGTCACTAGTCACCCCTTCCCTCCCACACTTTGCCACTAGTCATCTCTTCCCTCCCTCACTCTGCCACTAGTCACCCATTCCCTCACTCTGTCACTAGTCACCCCCTCTCTCTCCCTCTGTCACAAGTCACCCACTCCCTCACTCTGTCACCAGTCACCCCTTCCTTCCCTCACAGTGACAGAGTTAGGGAGGGAGTGACTAGTGACAGAGAGAGGGATGGGGTGACTAGTGACAGAGTGAGGAAGGGGGTGACTAGTGACAGAGGGAGGGGGTGACTAGGGACAGAGTGAGGGGGTGACTAGTGAGGGAGGGGATGACTAGTGACAGAGTGAGGGAGCGGGTGACACAGTGACAGAGTTAGGGAGGGAGTGACTAGTGACAGAGAGACGGATGGGGTGACTAGTGACAGTCACCCCCTCCCTCGCTCTGTCACTAGTCACTCCCTCACTCTGTCACTAGTCACCCCTTCCCTCCCTCACTTTGCCACTAGTCATTTCTTCCCTCCCTCACTGTGCCACTAGTCACCCATTCCCTCACTCTGTCACTAGTCACCCCCTCTCCCTCCCTCTGTCACTAGTCACCCACTCCGTCACTCTGTCACCAGTCACCCCGCCTCACTGTGTCTCCCCCTCACTTTGCCACCACTCAACCCCTCCCTCCCTCACTCTGCCACCCTCACTCTGCCACCTGTCACAACCTCCCACACTCTTCCACCTATCACCTTCTCCCTCACACACTCTGTCACCTGTCACATATGCATCCACACTGACACTATATACAAAAAAGCACGTGTAGTCATCCAGACATGCACAAGTGCATTCACACAGACTCAAATACAAACATGCATTGATACACAGGTCTTCACAATATACACATCCAAAGGAATGCCGTATTGTGAGTTATATTTAACATTTATTTAATGCACATAGATTTGGCCTTCAAAGGACCTGGGATCTAATTTTGCCCGGGGGCCCCAAAGGCTCTCAGTCCACCCCTGCTAACACTGATATATACGTATAGATACAAACACCGACATACACACTGACACACATGCAGATACACAGACCCACAATGTACACATTTTTATCTACCCTACTGTTTCCTATTTTTGGGTGCAGGGGAGTGGCCTCTGCTGGCTTCTGCTGTTGAGAGTTAGGAGCTGGCTCTCCCAACCAGTGCCCCCTCCTCTCTGCCTCTCCAGTGTGGCTCAGTCTAATAGCTGGGAGCCTGTGACCAGCTCTCACTTCCTCTCAGGCCTGGTTTAGTGATAGTTGCTTGACTCTGTCTGTGTACCTTTATGATCCTTGACATCTGGCTTGTATTTTGACATTGCTTATTCCCTGTACTTTGTAGCTTATGTCTGGCAGGGGCAGCTCTAGATTTTATGAGGCCTTAGGCGAAATTCAAACATGTGGCCCTACTAACACCCAAAGTATAAAATAATAGGGTTGTATTTTGTGTGTGTAAGGAGCAGTCGCTATATTGGGAGTGCTGGATACAGAGAGTCAGTCTCTGCATTCATTGTTCAGAAGCTTGCAGTGTCATGGCTTCCTGTGCCCCTGCATTGTGAGCTCTCTGGCTGTAGTTGTAGCATAATTTACAAAAAAATAATATGTAAAACAAACATTTAATTTGCAATTATGCTAATCGTTTCTACACAGTCGTGGGGTATGGTTTTATAGCCTGGCAGTCGTGTATAACTAAGTACTCGTGTGAAGGGGTTATTGAAAACAAAAATAAAAAAAAATTTGAGCTAAAAAGCTTTTCAAAAATAATTTTTGTATGATGTATGTCTTCAGCTGGTGACTGTGACATGGTAAGTAAAGAGGTACCAGTGGCAGGAAGAGTGTGACAGGCAAAAGCAGGCAAATAGGACAGGGTGGAGGTTGTGAAAGAGAATGAGGGAGTGCAAGTATGACATGGTTTGATGAGGGAGTGTGTGACGAAGTGCCCTTCGCCACTTGTACCTGGAGAGGACTAATTGCCAGCCTCTTGCCTTGTGACATAGCCCCTGGGAGAGTTTGCCCTTTAAAAACATTTTTAAAGGGCAAACTCTCCCAGGGGCCATAGTCACAAGGCTGAGGCAGCGAGTGGCCTGGTATGGTCCTAATGTGTCCATGGATACCTGCTAGGCGATCTGGAACCAGTGACAGTGTGTGTGAGAGGGATGATACTGTGTGTGTGCGGGGGGATTGTGACAGGTGATATGTGTTTGTGAGGGGTGATCCTGTGAGGGCGGGGAGTGATACTGTAATAACTGGCTGTGTTTTTCTTTAGTTGAATAAGTCTTTTATGTGTATATATATATATATATATATATATATATATATATATATATATATATATATATATATATATATATATATATATGTATATATATATATATATATATATATTTCTTCTTTTGGGTCATGCTTGCCACAATAATATATGTCTATATTATTGAAAAGTACTAATACGCAATCTGACGTTCTTTATAAAAAATAAGTATTTATTCAACATTCAACAGCAAACACTAATATACTTAACAGATGGTATTTCTTAACGACGTTACAGAGAGTCGTCTTTGTATCAGCAACTCAGGACATCAGAGAGGACAGCAAAACGGATCGTAGAAGAAGAGCGCGTGGTCCTTTGTCCTTGGCTCTATATAGCCCAAATTACGTCATAATGTTTAGTTTAGACATTGCCATATAAGGAAATTCCCCATATAAAGACCACCTCAAATCTCTTATACAGCAAATTCCAGAGACCTCATGGTACAGAATAGCAAACACCATCTGTTCTGTTTAACCCATTAGACAGCCACACCTTAATATGTATTTGAATAGGAACATATAGAATATGCAATATTCTACATTTCCCTCTGTTTATGGTTTATTTATAAACCATAACAAAATGTTATTTACCTGTCCATTCATACATCATTCGTATCACATTTCATATCACAGTCATTGGGTATAAGAAGAGATGTGTTTATAGCTATCCAGTATCTGAGATTCCTTGGAAGTATTGTGTATTACCCTGTTTACAGTTTCCTTTAGTGTATTCTCCTTCTGTTTAACCTTTTCATTTACAAGTATATACAGTTTTCTAATTCTACATTGCATAATTACTTGTAAAACAATACATATAGTAGACACACATATAACAATAATAAATGGATGAAATAAAATATTTACAATTGCTGATCCTACAGATGATTTAGCAAGTGTATTTGTGCTTTTAATTATGTCATTCTACCAAGAGGAACTAGAAACAATTGACCATTCATGTTCTATCTCCTTTAATTTACCCATGTTCAAATTGAATTTCTGTTTCTTTAAACTGTTTTTGTAACAAATATAATAATATCTTGTCTTTCCTAATCTCATCTGCCCACTTTCTCCATGGAAACTCATTTGTTTGTGAAACATTTAATTGAATAGGCATGATATCTATCTCTTGTATAGGACTCTTCGATATATTAACTTGAGTTCCTTGTCACCCCCTTTCAGTAATGTTTCTGAATGTGTACATTCTGAAAATGTAGCTCTTACTAACTTATTATTTGGCATAACCTGTACACATACTTTGTCTTTTTCTATGGGAGTTACAATTTCATGAGGATTTTTAACTGTTTTAATTTTACCGGAACATGAACTTTGGTTATGAAAACATGAATGATAAATGGTTTCACCTTGGTTATTTAAACATATTATTTTGGATGCAAAATGTAGACAACTAGAAAGATCTACCTCCTCAGTAATGTTATTATAAGATACAAAATCAGGATATTGTAATTTGTAAAATAATAATTGTGTGTTACTAATAGGAATTCCTAATACCGACATTGAAAATAGTGTTTTTTCAATACCAGAAATTGGTATTAAAGAAGAACTTATACATATATCATTGTTACATCCCAACCATTTGTTAACCCATAAATCTGTATGATTTTTAGCGAACGCAAACTCCTCAGGTAAACTACGTTTGAGTTCTATTGGAGTAGCACCACCTTGTAATGCTTGTGCCATCACCTTAAAATCTGTAGAATATTCAACTTGTGTCTCTAAACAACCTTTGGCTACCTGGGATGAATCTGTATTTCTCATTAATGCCAAAGTAGTTTCCTGTAAATGTTGAACAGAGGGTGCAATAACAGAGGCTGTGTTCATAACCATATTTTTCAATATTTGATTTAAACCTCTTTAAATATGCAATGCTTTTCCCCCTATTAACCCTACAGTTCGCAAATCATTCTTTAATGTTTGAATATCCATAGAATTAGTGATACTTCCAATAGTACCAAATCCAGCCATAATTCCTTCTACTATATCTCTTTTTTTCCTGTTTAATACTTTACTTCCTCCAAACCAATGTTCTAAACCTTGTTCCATATTTAATAAATGCTCCTTACATTGTGAAAATTTACTTGAGATTTTCCACTGAGAAACATTAAAATGCCAAACTATTGTTGCAAATTTCCCATCTAATAACAAAGGCTTTGATTGAAAATGATTCAATTGAAAGGGAAAGGGACCTTATTTTTGCAGTCTACCATTCTGGGAGAGAATACATTTACCTTAACATCACCACATCTCTCGTGATGATTTCTTAACATTATACAACATTGATAGTTTCCACTATCACTGTAGGTAGGATTGTCTAAATAGAAAACAAACATTTCTTCCGACCAATTCACCTTTCCTAGTACAGCTCTGTGAATAACCTTTGGCGTTGTATGTGACATACTACCCAAAACATTCCTTCCCTTTTCCATGTCATTCCAGACTCAGGGGGTAAACTTATATGTGTACTACATGTTAATCTAAGTCTTTCCTTTCCTTCCTGGACATCTACAAGACTAGGCTTCATTATAATATCTCGAATAACATAATCAGTTACCAGAAACATCATGTTAACTCTTACTGTCAACGATTCCCTAGATGCTCATATTTCCCATATCCAAGGTATACCTGGAGTATTGTTTTTTTAAGAGGAATTCTGGCTCTAAATGTATAAGCCAATATTGAATTGTATAAAGTACCTCACCACCTCATCCTCGCGTTGTTACTGAAGTTTGTGCAACGTTCACATACATGTCACCTGACCAATTTACCATTTCCTCTCCATTAACTACAATCATGATATATGCATTTTGTAATATGTTAAGTTCTCATGATCCCGTTTTTACATTGTCTGGTACTTGTAATTTTTAGCAATTGCATCTTTCTGTGGGGTAGACAAATATGGTTCATTAGGAAAATTCAACTGCATTTTCCTACCTGTCATCAATTCAAATGGAGTGTATTGTGTAGCTGAAGACATAGTGCCTCTAATACCCATAAGTACAGCAGGAAGTGCCTGTACCCATGTGTTGCCTTTCTCAAGTAACATTTTTGAAAGTCTAGATTTCAATGTTCGATTCATACGTTCCACAATCTGCTGGGATTGTGGAACGTATGAATCGAACATTGAAATCTAGACTTTCAAAA